CTGGTGGCAACCCGATCTCAAGTCTATCTTAGAGAAACAACGGGAACCCTTCAACTAGTCAAACAAATCATATATACGGGGTATAGGGTACTTATTCTTAACTGTAGCCCGATTCAACTTTCGGTAGTCGATACACAATCTCAAGGCACCATCTTTCTTTTTAGCAAAGAGGGGTATTTACCAGAATGTTTTGGGATTTGTAAGTTTTGGGCTTTGCTTAAAGTTGACTTATTATAGTCCTTGTAAGAAAATGCATATATTTCTTAGAGCATCTCGTGTTGTTTGGTTACAGCTTTAGAAAACTAATTTCACACCTACTTTTCAAAACACTCACTTTTCAATATCATATGTTACATCACTCAATTCACACTCTTTTCAAAACTCATAACCAAATAATTTTTCCACACTCAAATCATAATTTCAAAACTCACAAACTCAAATTACAACTCTATTCTCAAATCATAATTCTAAGACTCTACCAAACACAACCAATATTTTTTATGAACGTATCCCCACCGTACCCGTATCCTAGTTTTTCAAATTTTGTCGTATCGCCGTATCCGTATCGTATCGTACCCGTATCCCATATCAGTATCCGTGCTTCCTAGACTACACCTGGTACAATCGCAGAGAAAGGATTTAGGATATGTTTAACAGAAATTTCTATTGGAGGTTGCAAAGGGAATTTTTTTAATTTCATGATTTTGTTGTTAGACACTGTTAAACTAAATATGAAAACAATTAATTGCTTGAGCTAACAGAAAGGGTTATCAGAGAGGCAAAGGCTCCAAAAGGAGGAACAACCCTACCTAGAAACTTCTTGCAATAACATTATCAAATAGCTCAAATCTTTTTCTAAATGAAATACTAGAACCAAATTTCCCCTCATGAGAGAGACTGGGGGTGTGTTTGGTTTGTTTTTGAGGGAGTGATTTTCAAAAAAAAAAAAATTGGGGAGAGAGTTTAGAATTTTTTTTGGTTTGTTTGGTTGTATATTTTGAAAGTAATTTTGGAGTTTGAGAGTTTGAGATGATTTGATATTTTATTTTAATTGAGTAGATGTGTGTGAAAGAAAAAGTGATTGAGAATGAGAGAGGAGGGAGAAAAAGTGATTGATTGATGTGTAATAGAGAGAGAAGTAATTTTGAATTTTTTTGAGAAAATTTGTAACCAAACATGTTTTTGGAAATTTTCTTCCAGAAACATGTTTCAAAAGACAAACCAAACACGCCCCATTACTATTAGAAGATCATTACTAAAACAAATTGAACATCATTACTACAAGAAGATCATTATTAAAACAAATTGAACATCATTACTAAAATAATAATAACTGAAAATAAAAAATATATGAAAATTGAAATGAAACTAATTTGGAGCCTTTCAGCGGTCTTCATAAAACAATCAAGCAAATCTATTTGTTGATCAAAATAAGATTTGTCGTTAAAGATCTTCATAGTAGGACCTTTGCATAGGATTTAAATTGGTCATATCCATTGACATTATTTTCTGTTCCTTATTTTGTTGTTCTCTTTCATTCATCATAGATAATATTTTTAGTTGTTCCTCCTTATCCTTGGCCCTTCTTCGATGTTCTGCAGCCTTTTGTTCACGTTCAATCGCCTTTTGTTCATCTCACTTAACACTTCTAGAGGACATAGTTGACAACACTTCAACAATTTTAGACTAGTTGACAGCCATTTTATCAAATCTAACATCATGAATTGCTTATTTCTTCAACTTTTCTTTCGCAGCTTTAGTACCAATTGGTCGTGTTGATGTACTAGTCAGTTATGGGTCCTCCTTAATATTGTTGTTGGGTTGAAAAGCCTCACCTTCAATTGCTGGATTCGAAAATGGATAAGATAATCGTATGGGTTTTTTGCATTGTGTTCTAATTTCATCCCACTTACAACTTCGGCACAAAATATCTGGACTTGTATCAAATGTAAAGTATTTTTTATGTATTGCATGACACAAGCGCTTAACTTCAGTGACCTAAAAAATGGAAAAGATAATCAGTTCGATAAAAAATAGATATATGCTACAAAAGAAATGAAAATTACAATACCTGTCTCAGTTGTTCCAATTTGTTGCCTCAATTGGATTTGGTCAAAAAAACCACAGAATTTATTAATTGTCTTTTGCATCACAGACCAATGGTGAGAGAAAGAAATACGATTTTGATTTGACTGGCCATTCAATTGTGAATTAAAATAAACAAGTATTCGTTCCGAGAATATTGCCATAGTCTAACTATTACCAGCAATGGGATCCTGAGAAATGGCCAACCAAGATCTACATAAAGTTTCATCTTCTATAATGGTGAATGCTTTACCACGAGAAACATGAAAAGTTTCAGAAATAAAAGTAACATTAGTGTTCTACTCTGAAGTTTGTGATTCCTCAAACATTTCAAAATCTTCCATAGTTTGAAGGTAAAATTTTTACAAATAAACAAGTTAAAAAATTCAATAGGTTACAACATTCAACACACAGTGAAAAATATTGTAAAAGAAACAAGTAAAAATTAAAGAAAGGAGTGAAAAAATCAAGAAATATTGAAAATTGAAGATCACACAATGAGAATATTGTCAAAGAAACAATTGACAAACGAAAGAAAAAGTTATTATTAAAGTTAACAATGACAAAAAAAAAATGAGAGAAATTGTAATGATATTGTGAAATTGAAAAACAAAACAGCCTTATTTTATAGACCACAGCAGCGGCAATTTTGTGAAATCCTCTACAAAACCCACAGTAACCTTATTGGAGTTGCATCCTACAAAATCAAAGGCTAATTTGAGTACAAATTTGAATCTACATGCAATGCATTTGCCTCTGCTATCCATGCATCACTATTGGTAAGAAATTTGGTCTTGGTGCCACAAAAAGCAAACAACTTTGCAAGCTTGTTGACACATTGGTTGTCTGGGAGGACATCCCCTCGATCGTCCAAACCATTGCTTTGTTGTGGGAATTTTTCAAGTAAGAGGATGACCGGGTGGACATCCGGCCGAACGTCCGGTGGCTCAAATCCTCAACTGCTATACACAGTAAAATGCTAAAATGTGCCAGACATCCTCAGTTTGGTAAAATATTTTTTATATTCTCAATTTGATATAGGTTTGATGAAACCATTAGAGTAGAAAAAAAAAGAGAGAAAATTTTCACCAAATTTGAATTTGGTGATGGATTTGGTGCAGCGTTGGAGATGGCCTAACAAAAAATAAATAATCCATCTATCTTGGTAGTGATTGATCTTTAACCTTTCAATTGAAAATGTACAACTAGGAGAGAGTGAGTTAGCCCTTTTGGTTCAATATCAATACATCAATCATGTAAATTTTATGCACATAATATCAAAAAAAATAATTAAATCAATAGTCAGACACAATAATATGGGTTGAATAATAGTATATGATATAATATTTGTGTATTTGTTGCCTTGTTTCTATATGCAAATTGGTTTTTACCTCGAGTAATAACTCAATAACTTGACGGGTCTTTGTGTGGCTGTTCGACTAACCTAAAGTATCATACTTGTAATCTCATCTTCTAGTTGGCGTTTGATAATCCATATCAACACCAACCACTGAACACCTACCATCACTACAAGAAATGTCACTTTTGACTACCAAAATATTGGTTGCCAAAAGTCAAAAATTTGGTCGCTGAAACGATTTAGCGACTAAAAGGTTTTGTTGCCAAGTTCGTCGCCTATACCCTGTCGGCGATAGTATTGGCGAATAAACTTTATTTGGTCACCGAAAGTGTAACATTTGCCTACTAAACTTCTTTTGGTCGGCAAATGTTAGCTTTTCACCACTAAAACCAGTAGTCGCCGAATGTGACTTTTGGCTACTAACATTCGTGTGGTCGGGGAAGGTGTTACTTTTTGCTACGAAATAATTAGTCACCGAAAGTGAACATTTGGCTACGAATCCGTACTTAGTCGGCAAACGTGACATTTCGGCCACTAATTTTTTAGTCACTAAAAGTTCTACATAAAAATTTTAACCAACTATTAGAGACTAAATATTTTGGTCACCAATAGAATACATTACTTTTTGCCACCAAATGTTTTAGTCACCAAATGATACCATTTTTTTTCCGTGACTAAAAAATTTAGTGGCCAATAGTTTATTTATCTCATTCTCAATTATTTTAGCTACTAACTATTTAGTAGCAAAAAAATTTTTGGTTATGTTTTTGCTACTAAATTATTAGTCACCAAAACATTTGGCTACATATTTGGCTACCAAAATATTTGGTGGCCAAATACTTTTTGTTTTTGTTTTGTTTTTTTTTTTCAAAAAAATTCTAAACAACCTGTATCCATTTTTAGTACAACCTGTATTGTATAACCAATATAATCCATCAACACTAAATATATTATCAACCATTCAAGTATTCAACAATGTGCACACATTTTAGTTCCAACCATCCAAAACATTAATATTGAACCTCCAATTCTATATATAATACAAATTCCATACGAACCAAGTCTAATCCAACGTCAATAATTTCATTTCATACGTAATACAGGACTAACCAAAACCATTCATTTCATTTCTATATATAATACAAATCATTAGTTTGTATGTCCAAAACCATCATATCCACATTTGTATGTCCAAAACCATATCCACATTTGTTTGCCCTTCCGTACTTGTCAAAAAAAATCATATCCGCATTTGTATGTCCAAAACCATCTGCAAATTAAAAAAAATGTCATTAGTTTGGTGCCTAAAAAGGCACTTCTGGACAACATATAGCAACTATATTAATTTCAAACATGAAACGACAAGGAGAGTAATAGCTATTAACTAATGAAAGACACCCAAACATGAAATGGTAGACGAACATCGATTCTGTGACATTTTCAACAGTGGTTCGGGGACTGTTTCGCATTTTCACCCCCCAAACCCCTTTTTGTCGACTAAATTAATGACATTTTCAACTCTAAATCACCACAAACTGGCATAAATCACCACAAACATTAATAATTTCGACAACAAAAAATTGTAAATCTTCTTACGATAAAGAAATAGTAAATTAATATAAGCTTCCCATTATCCACCTATTTCTCCATCCAGATGCAACATAAAATTTAACAAATAGGAATAATATATGTGTTTAACTTTTGACATCTAACACGGTTTTTAGTATAAATTGCAAAAATTGACAGGAACTAATTATCATGTTTGTCCTAAACAAAATTAAGGAAATTTATCTATGATGGGAAACTAATTACCATGTTGGTATCAAATTCACTGCTATGAACAACCAATACTCAGTAGTCCCAAGAATAAGAGCATTTTTCAACCCTAGAAATCGAACCACCAATGCAGCAACCAAAGAAAAAACCGTAAAAGATGAATACAAAATCCCAAGTGAAATCATCCCTAAATCTTCCTTCTGAAACCAAAATTCAATTCAAATTAATCAAAATATTAGCCTAAAAGTAATGAATTATTCAACGGATTAATTTCACTTCTATCCCTTAAACTATCACCATTTTCTTTATTTCATCTTTAAAATTTCAATTGCATTTAGTCCTTCAAATTTCTGATATCTATGGAGACTATCAGAAATGGTTGCAATTTATAGAGTTGGTTATTTAACTGTGCGTGTATTTTTGTCCTTCTTCCTGATAGTTAAGATATTTATAGTTTTCTCTTAACAGTGCTTCTATAAATAATGAATTTTAGCAATGAGCTGGCACTGGTTCACAATAGATGGTTGAACAGGGCTTTGCAGCATTACCAGTAATGACTCGATGTTGGGAAGACTCTATGCCTGAAGAAGATGACCACAATGAATCAAGTGAGGTGTGGGCGTCTGGTCGAGCTACCATTGTTAGAGATTTGTGTAATCTTCTACAGCAGGGTTGGCTTAGACTTGCACAGCAAATGGTTAGTCTATAAATGTAGTTAATGTAATCGGATTTATTTCTTGAGTAAGAAAATCCACCACCAGCTGGAGAGTCCAAATATATGATGTTGGAAACCTGACAGACAAAGATCATCAATTTAGGAGCTTATTTAAGAAATATGGGTAATATAAATGCTATTTGACATTCAAAACAAATTTATAACCTTGGACCAGCTATTTGACATCCAGTAATGTAGTTTGGGAAGGCTTCCCTTTGTCTCTCCCGTTTCAAAATTGAATGGTCCTACATAATATGATCTAAAGATTGTTTCACACATTACTTGAATTAACTGAATTGAAGAGAAAAACAATTAATTTGAAAACTTATTAAGTGCTTTCAATAGATGAAAGTAGAAGAGGGTAAACAAAACCATTAAGTCTGAAATTCCATATCTTAAAAACACAGAAATTATCCCAGATCAACGAAAATCTAAACCAAAGCACAGCTATTTTATTTGATTCAAAAGGCCATAGCATCTGAATCCACAAACTGGTTATTTGAAAACTCAAAAAAGAGCCCCAAGAATCATAAAGACATGGGAGAGGTTATAGGAAAAGTTATACTTTTTGAGAGAGAAGTTGTATATTTTGTGAGACGAAAATTACGATTTTTGTGATGAAAAGAAGTTATACATGAATTTTGAAGTTATAAAGAGCACCTAAAAGTTATGTATAACTAAAGTATACTTTTTGTGAGAGAAGTTATATATTTTCTGAGAGGCAAAAAAGTTATATTTAGAGTGAAGAAAAAAAGTTATACAAAATGAAGTTATGTTCTTTGCATAAGGTGCATACGATCACATCATAGCATTCTCCTAAAGCAATTTCAAGAATTCTCTATACTATTCTGAAGTATGTGGCTATGGAAACAAAATACACACTTCACATATTTTGAAGTACACAATATAAAATTTTCATCTGTGCCTCAATCTAAGGAATCCAAGCAGTTTCAGTGATTCACAAGATTAGCAAAAGCTTCAATCAAGTTTTCCTCAACAAACCAAAAAAGACAATATGGAAACCATACAGTAACACAAAGAAATAGGTCCAAGACTCACAAATATAGGAAACAGGTATAGTTCAATTTGTGAGTGTTACTTCAAGAGGGAAATAGGTCCCCAAAGAGTCATTAGCATTAGAGATATGAGGTTCAATTCAAACGTATTGTTTTGTTACTGTTGATATAAATTATAATCGTGGAAAGGTAGGCTACAATTACAAGGTGCATTCAAATTTCAATTTTTATCCAAAAAACAGAAACTAAATTTGCCAGTAATATATTTCTGCAATTCCACGCTTACCTTAACAATAAGAGTTCCCATCTCTTCATAATGATAGTATTCAATGCGTTTCAACCGTAACGCACTATTAGGTACTTAGCAGCAGTCCCTAAGAGAATCTAGAGTAGCTTGTTGTAGAACTAAATATCAAGCATGGCAAGTATATTTACATTTATAAGGAAAGGTATAAACGGATTTGAAGAAGACTGCTCGGAAGAATAAGTCTGATTTAGAATAACAAGAGTAACCAAATATTGAGTAGGTTTAAGCATCTTCTTGTTCTGTAACAATATGTAGCTTATTAGCAATCACCAAGCAATACCACAACCCAGAAAATTCATCATTCACATTAGGTATCTATGAGGTCGCAAAATTTAATATAAAATTCAGGGAGAAAGGGAGGGAGAATAAGGCTTGCATCCAACCAGATGATCGAATTTACTTATGCCAAAAAATAATTTATGATGATATGCCATCTCAATTAGACAGTGAAATGATAAATGCAAAATAACAGAGCTGCAAAGGGTCCAACAAATAAAGATATGAGGAATGGCAATCTTTTCATTTAAAATTACAAATAGATAGCATACTCAACATTTTTTCCCTAATTCATTTGTCTTCTCTTTCACTCACACAGTGTTAAACACAAAGCAAGAAAAGGGCAAGCAAAGAGCAGTCAGATTAGTAGGTAGACATCTAGCAATGTTTAAGTGAAACCCTAACCAAAAATAAATTTTAAAAAAAAAATTAGAAGAAGAAAAAGAACATGAATAAAGTGAAAAAAGAAAGAAAAGATTAGTGAAACCCCAAAACAAAGTTAAGTTGAATTAGAATTTCAATTGGCACGAAAGTTATGACTAGCATAAAGAGCAAAATTAGCCCTCTTTCAGTGTTAATAAGCACCCATACTAGAAATTCCCAAAATCGCATAATTCAATTTTCAAAAACCAAACAGTGTGCATATTCGTGTTTGCATACAAAACCTAACAAAAATTCCAAGTTCAATCTCAGAACCCAACACATCATATGGCCAATAAACAAAGCCCTAACTGTCCAAATTCTTACATCTAAACTCCAATCAGCTAAATTTAGTATCTTAATCAAGTATGAAAATCTCCATTACAATTGATAAATAAAATAATTATATATATATATATATAGAGAGAGAGAGAGAGAGAGAGTTGCCCCTAAGAGATTGGAAAGGTGAGAGAAAAGAGTGAAATGGAGGGGGGCGAGGGAAATTGGAGTTGAAATCCGCCATGATTTCATCGAAGGGCCGTTGATCTCTGGAGTTGAGCAGACCCATCAACGACTTCGAATCTTCTTAAAAAATTTGAAGCATAGGTATAGGTATAACACAAACAATACCTAGTTGAGCAGACCCATCAATTGACGGTGGTGCTCTTGTGCGATGGCGGTGATGCTCCCGTACCCGATGACGATGGAGACAAAGGCGAGAGAGAGAGCTGGAGGAGGGCAGAGGCGTGAGAGAGTGAGAAAGAGAGAGAGAGAGTCACAGAGTGAGAGATAGCTGAGCGTGTGGAAGTGTATTTTTTATATATAGATTTCTTTCCCGACTACTTTTTGTAGTCGCCAATAATAAAAAATGACGTTTTTCCGACTAACGACTTTAGTAGCCAATTAAATTTCCCTCCGAAATCTGAAGTCCAATTTTTAAATTTTTTAATTATAATCGCCGACTAAAATTTAGTCGGTAAAAGTAAATTAATACAGATTAAATTATTTTTAGTAGCTAAAGATTATACATTTAGAGACCAAAATTTTTTTAGCCGCCTATAGGGTAATTTTTAGCGACTAAGTCATTTTTAGTCGCTTATTAAGTAACTTTTTGGCTACTAATTGTATTTTAGTCACCTATTGGGCTATTTTTAGCGACTAACTATTTTTTAGTCGCCGATTGGGTCATTGTTTAGCTACTAAGTCATTTTTAGTCGCCTATTGAGTAACTTTTTAGCTACTAATTGTATTTTAGACGCCTATTGGGCTATTTTTAGCGACTAACTGTTTTTAGTCGCTGATTGGGTCATTTTTTAGCTACTAATTATGTTTTAGTCACCAATAAGTAATATACGGCTACTAAAAAAATTTAGTAGCTAAAATATGAAACATTGCCGACCAATTCAACTTTTAGTCGCCAAAGGGCTGACTTTTGGCGACTAAATTAATTTTAATAGCCAAATTTGGTCGCCAAAATTGTAATTTCTTGTAGTGCATTGAAGGGTAAATTAATTATATTAGGTTTTGTTAACAAGTGCCCTTAGGCACTAGTTAAGATTGCATTAAATAAATCTAACAACCACTAGCATAGAATTTAGAAAAAGTAATCAGTGTTTGATTAACAATAATTTAATTTTTTTTTTGTAATATGTCCAAAATATCCTCCCTTTTGAGTCAAATTTTTTATTTACTTTTCAGGTCTTTTTTATGTTTGGTTGAAAAAAAATAATGTTTTTCATTTAAATTAAACTTTTTTTTTTTTTTGATCGGCAAAGAAAACTTTATTGATGAAGCACGTACAAGGTACAATGGGAAACATCAATAAAGAGGAGCTAAGAGCTAAAATAAGCTCAAACCTCCAGTTGGTGAGAGACCAACAAAAAAGAAAAAGGAAAAACAAACAAGAAAGCAAGGGGCAAAACTGCAGCAGATAACAAGAACACTGCACTACACTGCACTATAATAAAAACAAACAACAAAGCAAGGGGCTAACACTGCACTATACTGAACAAAAAAACCAAAAGCAAACCAACCCAGACTCATCCTTTGCACAGCAATCATCTAGCAGACCCAGCACCCACAGAGATGCACTGCAGCACCACAGATATAGGCTAGTGCATCAAGCAAACCAGCAACAGATAACCTTGCATCTCCATGCCACTGAACCAGTATTGAGAAACTCTACCAAAACCCACACAAGGTCAAAGGACCAGCCAGAATTCAGACCCAGCCAAAATACTGCTAGCAATGCATAACAGCCCAGAGCAGAGAGAGCTAACCAGTCCAAAAACAGACCAAACCAGAACAAAACAGCAACCTGCAAGCTTGCAACAGAACTGCAGAAGTCACCACTGATGGAGCATACAGATGCAGCAGATTTGCCTTAAGCTACATTGCCTAGCAACAGTCCAAACAAACAAACCAGACACCTTGCTTTGAATAAGAGCAGAGATGCAGATGGACACTCCTCTGGCTATGAGCCTTGAAAGTACACTCCATAGCCAACTGAACCAATTTATCACAAACTCAACACAGACTTCAGAGCAGACCAACTAACCAACCACAAAACCAGAAACAATTCAGCACTTAATTACACACAGTGACACACTTGCCTCAAGTTAAAGATAACATCTTGCACCGAATAATTAAACCCCTTTAATGATGTAGAAACCCACAACGCGACTCTAGCCTTTATCAGTTCTACCAGTGCCTTCCAATCCGGTTGTGCCTTATTAAATAAACATTCGTTTCTGCTTTTCCACACAGACCACATGACTGTTAGAGGTATAATCTTCCAAACTGCTTGCAACTTCTTCTTCACTTTTATGCCTGACCACGACAGGAGTAATCCCTCCACTGATCCAGGGATAACCCACTTATAATTCCACCAATTCACTAACATGGCCCACACTTTCCAAATGATAGGACAGTGCAGAAAAACATGGTTTACGGACTCCACCCCAGATCTGCAGAACACACAGACAGCCGAGGTGTTTGGGCTCAACACTCCTATTCTTTGCAAGAATTCAGAGCATTTTATCCTTCCTTTCCACGCTAACCAACTCAAGAATTGAACTTTGGGTGGGGCTATATTAGTCCAAATGCACCTAGTGACTGTGCAGTCCACCCCTTGACTTGCTTCCATCCACTTCCAAATTGATGCCACAGTGAACGCTTCAGACGGATGGCCTAGCCAAGCACAAGAATCTACCACCCCTTCATTGAGCCTAGGCGCACTCTGCAGAAGATCATTAAGTTTTTGCACTTCCTCCTCTTCCCATGCTAAAAGTGGTCTTCTGAAAACCAGATTCCAGTCGGGATCTGCCACTCTTCGATGAAAAAAATCAAACAGCTTTCCATCTTTGTCAACTGAAAGTGTAAATAGTCTGGGAAAAGACACACTCAGGTTTTGGTTCTGGCACCACCTGTCAGTCCAGAAATGCAACCTTCTACCATTTCCAACAACTAACCTGTAGTTTTGCAAGAAGAAATCACGCAGGGCAGTGTTAACTACAGCCACTGACAATATATCTTTCCACGTATGTGATAGCCACACTGAACTAGAAAGAAATGGGCACCAACCACCACCTAAACCTCCATACTTACTACAAATCACTTGTTTCCACAACGCTGACTCCTCCTTGCCATACCTCCACCACCATTTAACTAGCAGGCATTCATTTACCTGGCTAAGATTTCTCACACCTAGCCCACCTTTAATTTTACTTAGGCATACCTCCTTCCAGTTAATTAGGTGTACTTTCTTCCTGATTTCAGATCCTCCCCAAAGAAAATTGGCTTGAATTCTGTGAAGGGCTTTTGCAATGCCCACTGGGAGCTTAAAAATTGATAAGAAATAAACTGGCAAACTTGACAGGACGGACTTGATAAGTGTTACTCTGCCCGCAAAGGATAAATACCTTCTTTTCCAAGAAGCTAGCTTCCTCTTAAACTTGTCTATCACAGGTTTCCAAGAAGCCTTTCTCCTTGGGTTTGCACCTAATGGTAACCCCAGGTAACTCATTGGCAACTTTTGACTGAGACAGTTTAGTTTGTTTGCAAAGACCTGAACAATATCCTCCTGCACACCTACACCACAAACCTTGCTTTTGTGGAAATTTATTTTGAGACCAGACATCAACTCAAAGCACCTTAGAATTCTTTTCACGGCTACAACTTCCTCCCACTCCGCTTCACAAAAAATAATGGTATCATCGGCAAACTGTAGATGTGTAATTATCAATTCAGATGATCCTACGGATACTCCTCTAATCAGTCCCACTTCCTTAGCTCTTTCCAATAGAATGTTCAGACCCTCCGCTACAATATTAAAGAGAAGAGGAGAGAGCGGATCTCCTTGCCTAAGCCCTTTCATGGGAGAAAACTCAGAAGTTGGTGAGCCATTTACAAGTACTGAAACTCGAGCTGTGGATATGCAGGTCTTCATCCACCCCACCCATTTCTCTCCAAAACCGAAGTTTTTCATCATTGAGTACAAGAACTCCCAATTTACGGAATCATACGCCTTTTCAAAATCCAGCTTTAGGATGAGACCTTTTTTCTTTGACCTTTTCCACCAGTCCACCACTTCCTTCAACTTCCCCCCATCACCCCTCTTTCTCTACCACAACAACTTTTACCCTCTGTAGCCCTTACCCCCGTGACCTCCACTCCTTCAACCTCTATAGTCTCTCACCTTTTGCGCGCCACCATAGCTCTCGCCAAATACACCACTATTTGGCGGTCTTACTTTAACTGAGAGAGATAAAGAGATCAATGAGGAGAAAGTGAGAGGGATCAAAAGATCCACAAGGCATGGGTAATGGCAACGAGGTGGCAATAGACTGGAAATAGGTTGACTCGGGGCAGGAAGGGGTTGGGATGAGCGAAAAAAAGTCAATGGAGCTATGGGCTGATAGGGGTAGGTAGGGAAAAGGGTTGTGGAGGTGACAGGAGTGTGGTGGGGAGAGTTCGGGAAGGGTGGCGAGAGGTTGGGTTGCGACGAAGTGATTGGGTGGTAGATGAAGTCGAGGTAGGGTAGGTTTAGGATGATTGAAAATAATTTTGGTAT